TTAAACCACAAGGTCAAAACCAATGATGTTCATCTCCAATTTCTTTCATTAACTTACATGATTGAGAACTTTGATATTTTCATGACGAGCTTTTACATCAGTATCAATAATAAAGCGAAGTTTGAGATGTTGACAAACTAAATATGCTTCTTGATAAGTAATAGACCAACTAAGTGAATCCTTGTTAAAGAGTAACAAGCCTATATATAACATGATTAAACATGTTACAAGAGGTCCTTCTAAAGGTCCAGAGGTCCCACCTGTTAGACTAAAACAAGCTTAACCAAACCCTGTAATTTTTCTTTATAAAGGTCCAGAGGTCCCAACAAGTCAAACTGTATCCGCTTATCCACTCAGGATCATCCCTATCACAAGATTTCCATCTGTAGCAGATGCAGTAATCAAAGAAGGATGAAAGCCTAGTCACATAGCTTGTAAAGCAATATGCTGAGGGTCTTCCTGAGTATAAATAGACATAACAAAATACACAATAAATCAACCCCCCCCCCCCACACACCACCCTATTGTCATCACCATGTGTTTCCATATCAAAATGTAGCATAGACCCTCTCCCCATCTCTTTACAGTTGGAACAGACCCATAAGTAGGAAAAGAGTTATCAACCACAGGCAAAGACAGAGAGTCCCAACAGAAAATTGGAGAAAATTAGAGATTACCTCAATAAAAATATGCCATATATCTCCAGTCTTGTTCAAACTCCGATTCAGCCTTAATTCCACCATCTCTTCATTTCCTGTATCTAAATCCTCCCTAAGAAAAGATTATCATGTTCAGTAACTATCTCATATTCACTAGACATGAATTAAAGAGAGATCAAATTGACACAGGGGTCTTCACAATAATACAATGCTATGTAGTACGAATATAGAAGTGGCAAGCTGAGAAAGGTTCTTTTTCATTCACATCCTCATAAGAAGTACAGAAAAGGAAAGAAAAGCTTTCAATTACAGTATATCACAATACTTCAACCCTTTGGTTTGCAGATTTTAACACAGGGAGGACAGTCAAAAACCAAGCTACACAAGTTATGTAAGGCCCACATAATCAATACAACAATAACGATAAAAGAGATGCATAATCACCAGCCAGTGGGAGGAAGCAATAAGCAAAGAGTTACTGAGCTTGCATGTTGTGAGAAAATTGCAAAATTTATTCCATTCTCCACTTCTGAAGCTCCCAAAGGAAATGCCTGGCCTGGCAAGATTTTGAACGATTTGCTTGTATTCAAAGCTTCTACCTTTTACAGAAAAATAATACGCATGACAACACATTAAGACATCACACATCAGTATAGATGAGCTACTTTAGATGAATTTCATGAATAAAGCCACAAAAAAATTTCTTCAACATAGAAAAAAAACAGAGAACTCACTGAAAGACAGAATTCCATGATATAGACTGATGATATTCTTATCACTCCATAAATATATGTGTGACGTGTTTACTATGACATGAGCCTTATTCACAAAGTCACAATAAAAGACGACCACCCTTTTGCACACTCCTTAAATACATATATTTACTATGATGTGAATCAATCTATTTATACAGATATAGAGTTCTTGGTAGTAAGCAAGATGATTCCTCTAAGAGTCTAAGTTATCCAGCATAGAAACTTAGCAAGACATACAGAAAGACCTATTGTGAGGGGCACCCATTGCAAGAACCAAAGGAGACAACCAAAAAAATCGCCAAATTCTTTGATTCCATAAACAATTTAGGTAAAACTACTAAAAATGGTTGCCTGCTATAAAATTTGAAACAATAATTTAATAAATGGGACAAAAACACTCTTCAGTTTATTGACAGAGTGGAGATACCCAAAAAAAAACTTTCATAAAGGGAATAAAGAGAGTACCTCTTAAAAATCTATAACCTTAATGAAGCATACGTATGATGAAATAAGATATACCTCAAGCACACACTCTTTGGCACCATGATTAGTGGCGCTCATAGAAACCTGAGTTGTGCACCTCCTTGTCTAACCTATGCCAAAAAAAAAAACCGGACTTATAAGGTATGCTGAAGGAGGATATGAACCTGCATGTTCCTTACATGTGACAAAAAAAAACCTACCCTTGTCATTTGCTGCTGTAGGTTACCTGATCCTGTACTCGATTGAGATCTGTTCATAATACACAATAGTTTTTACATAGTTCATCATTTATTCAAATCATTGTAAAATACATAACCTTAACAAAAGATACTACAGTATTAAGTGACATTCAGCAGATGAGATTACATATCATACTATTTTTAACCCGACAAAAGCCAGCATCCTTGCTTTTGTATAATCAAACCCTTTACTCCACAAGAAAAAGGTGAAAATCAAACTTTGGTGATGATGTAGAAGAATAGTAGTACACATAAAGAAGCATCCCTGAATTCTCCAAAATACCAACAATAAAATTTTTTGGTTTAATCATGTTCATCTAATCATTGTCCTTGACAATTTGAAAGGTTGGAAAGGTAACAAGTTTAACAACAACTAATTTGTATACCTTAAGATCACTGTAAATTTGTTCACTGACAGCCTAATTGATATATAAATGCTTAAGAACTTTCTCCAACAAGAAAAATTCGGAGATGAATTTCTTTTAAAAAACCGGCCATCACCACCCTTTATTGCTTCCTAGCACCTTGAAGAGAACATAAAACCTCCAAATTTGTGCTTTTACCACAATGCTATCGACTTCTCCAATATTGTTAGCATATAACAAAATTAGTTTACGCGTTGTCTCTAGAATTCTAAATTTTGAATGACTAAGACAACTACAATACTCATTGAAATAAAAACGACAATGATATTTTATTAGTTAACCGCAAAGCTTTTTTTCCCCTACATTTCCATTACCATCAATTTACCACTTCAGGAGTTGTATTCAGTAGTACACTTGAAGCGGTAATCAAAACCCATTTGAGGACGGAGTTGCATTACCATGGACATTAACGTGATATAATTTGTCATAACCAACATACATTTTTTTTTTTTTTTACAATGTTACACTTAAAATTCAATGTCATTAGTCCTCATTACCATCATTATTACCACCTACAACAGGTCATAAGAATACTACTTAAGCAATTAAATTTCCAAATGAAATACACCCCATGTCAAAATCATCATAAACCCTAATCATCACTCTTCATCCACCACCAATATTTCCGACAATAATCACATTGCAAATAATCAACACCCGATTAAGCAAATGAAGCGACATAGAAATTCCACTGAATATAAAATTAACCCAAAATAAATCCAACATCAAAAAACATAGAGAAAATCAAATCAAATCAAATCAAATAAAAATCACTGAAATTTTAAAAACGAAATTACATAAAACATTACAACAATAAAATTTACCCAATAGAAGCAGCAGATGGAGGAAACGATGAGAGAGAATTACGATTAAACTGTGAAACAGAGGAGAATGGAGGAAGATGAATCGAGTGCAACATTTTGTAATTGAAGGTGAGAAGATGATGAGATTGAAGAATTTTGGTAGCATCCATGAATTTTGGAGAAAGTAACTACTATTTATGATAATACTGCTAAATATGATAGATATTTATTTCATTGTTATTGGAGAGTGTTATGTGGGGCTTATTTTTTTGTTACTTGATTGATTGATTGATTTAATTGCATGGCGGGTAATTAACGTTTTTCGGAGTTCCAGACTGAAATAGAAGATGGCGAAATGTCCCGTATTTCCCTGCTTGCCACGTGAACGGTTTACACCTCCCACCTTTTTGTTTTCTGTTCTTTCTAGTGTGTCATCATCCAAAATTCAAATGTTTAGATTTGTTACACTGTAGGGAGTTTTAATTTCTAACATACATACATCTTAATGTAATCCTTATGTCCCTTTATTTTTACCGATTTGTTTTTTTGGGTCAAATTTTATAAACTTAAATTGTAAATTATCGTTAATATACAATAGATAATATAGTCTTGAAAATGAAGATAAATGCGTTATAAGAAGCGTCTTGGAGACCGTGAAAAATTAAATAGGGCAATAAAATAGGGACAGAGGGAGTACAAACTTACATATTTTGATGGGCGTAAAATATCTTAAATTACATTTTCTTAAACTAAATAACTTTTGTAAATATCTATTTCATTGTTAAAGTAGGTAAACGGATAAATTAATTCACAAAATTTTACCACTGATAAGAAGAAACGAATAAGTTGTTACGGTTTAAATTTCATAGCTTAATTCATTCGTTTACCTAGTCTAATCACCTGCTTCAAAAGCGTAATAAAAAGTATGTTACAAGTATAAAAAAAACAGATAAGTATATTTTGATGTGAGGTGAGAGTTAGACACATAATACTCCATAGAAAATACAATTAGTGTTCTCTTTATGTACGTGTTCATATTTTGATAGTTTCTCTGATGGCACAGACGACGACTCATATTTTTTTTTGGTAGCTAAGAAGAATTCTCTTCCAAGTAGGGGGGAAATTGGGAAACTACTTGCTTAAGATGAGAATCAAACGCCTCTCACATAGTCACAGGGATGGAAGGAGAGTCTCCAACCAACTAGGTTAACCTTGATTCTCAAAACAACTCACTATTTATGTTATAAATTTATAATGATGTACTGCTATATGCATTAGTAAAGATTAATGTTGTTTTCCTTGTATTTTATGCTTCTTGTGCATATTAAAAAGGTTGGTCTGCATCAAGTATTAGAGATTCAAGCTTCACAGAGGTGATCTATGCATTTCCAATTTCCATTGACAACAAACTCAGAAGCCATTGACTATACTTATTTTTAAGTATACACGAGGGATTATCAGCTTCGGCCTAAATAAATCATCATGTACAAAAAAAGGGTGTGAATTCTTAGTCCACAGTTCTTTTTTTTTTTTCCTTTTTTTTTTTAATAAATCTAAACTGACATGGCAACAATACTACAATAGAGTACTTAATTTTGAAATTGAACTGTGCTCTAATCTAACAGGATCAGTAATCTAGATCAATTCCATGGCAAATTGCAATGGTGACTGAAGATAAATATATTTCCTACTTCAGCAATTTTGCAAAGTATAATATTCATGAATTGTTCACATGATCACATCTATTACAAAGGCAACAAAGCAGCTGATTAGGTTACTAATTTTAGACTTTTAGAGCGATTCTGAGCCCTAAATTATACAACCTTTGATTTTAGATTTCAAAAGATAAAGTCTCAAATCAAACATTCAATTTCAATTGAATCACTCTATATGCTTATTACATAGTATCCTCCTCGAGATTTCTTTTCTTTTCCCTTATGGAAGTTGCTCCAAGGTAGGGACAGCACTTACATAAAACCTAGTACATCCCTGGCTACCTACAACCATGATATGTACCTAGAGCACAGCAGGCTTCAACAATAAGCCCTGTTGCCTTCCTATACTACAAGTCTACCAGCAAAAAAAGAAACTCAAATTTTAATTTAGGAAAAAAATAATTTAAAAAAAAAAAAAAAAAAAACTCTATTTTAATCCTGAATACTATCATCATTAGCAACCGGGTCTTATTTTTTTCAGGTAAAAAGAATCAGTTTTGTAATGCAGTCGCACCTTTTAAAGCTTACATCAACCACATGCAGGGAGAAAAAGCCACCAAGCTTCACCTGCAAAATGTAACCATCACAACGATTAAGCATATATTTAGAGAAGATAATATACAGAACACAGAGCACATATAGCTAATAGAAAGGGGAGAGGGTGAAGAGGAAGAGAAAGCAAAACAATATGGAAAGTCTCATGAAAAATCTTGGCTTAGATAAGCTCTTATAACCACATCCAGATAATTCTTCCACAATCTGTGACTATTGAAGGAGCACTCTACAAATTTAAAATAACACTTAGTCCACTTTTTGTACCCAATCAACATCAAAGGATTTGCAAATAGAATATGAGAGTCATCTGATAGCAGATACATCTTGTTATAACTTATAAGTACAAGATTCAAGTACCAAACTGAGTTTTGCAATTATGTGGTGAGAATTGCTCCATCTGGTAACAATAGTAGCATATAATATTAATGTACAGAAATTTCGCGACATTTCATATGACAGAAAAAAATTATGCTTAAATTTTCCCTTTAACCCAATTTCAAGAAGTGATGAAAATAGGATAAATTGTAGACAGCAGTGACAAAGGGTTTTCAAAAGAAATTATGGTGATTACGAGAGATTTATGGGACATAACAGCTATTGAATCCAAACAGAGAGAGTAATAACTTCAAGCAGTGCCTAGTAGATACCTTAAGATCACGCAGACAAATAATCGATTGCCCTCCAGGTATCAGGAGAAGAAGAAGAAATAATCAGGGCTGATTTATGATGAGGAAGCAACAACAGTCAGCAATGCGGTTTACTGAAGCTATGATCTTTTAGACAATGACAGAAGTCAAGAGCCATGAATCCTATTTAGGTGCTAGAGCAGAGGTTGCAGATGAGGCCTCTGCAATTAGAGCAATTGGTTGGCGAGCCTGGAGACAAGCACCTATCTCAAATGGTTCCAGCTCTGCTCCATCAAAGAGGAGACTTACTCCAGGCAGGATCACATCTTTGCTATCAGCATCATCAGATTCAACTTTAGGGACGTTCGTTAAATTTGATTCTTCAATTGGCCTGGTGGCCGCCTCATAAACGGGAGACAAAGCATATGATCTACACATAAAATTCAAACAGGACATCAGGGAAATTTGAGAGCCCAATCTGATCATATGTTGCCATGCGCACATACATGATGAACCAAAATCACAAAGCAAAATATAAAGCCCTCAGTAAAAGTTACAATGCTACCCAGGGAGAACCTACAAACCAACAGAAGTGGTAAAACCAGAGTTCATAGATAGAGAACTGCCAATAGGCGTAATATAAGTGATGTCAACATTGGTTACCTGAGAATGCTCCCATCAAAGCTAAGAACTTCTCTTCTTGAACGCTGCCTTGACGAAAGTTTTTTCCTCTGGTATTCAGTGGCTCCAGCAATGGGAGATGATGGTTCTGCAAGAGGATTCCATCTTCCACTCGCATAGGTCATAAGTTGACGAGACTTATCCTTTGGCTTCTCTTTCTGATATAAAAGCTTTGCAGCTGGACCTGTGGGACTGTACTCTGCACATACATCACGTAACCTTCTTCTTAATCCATGCATTGCTTCATGGTGCTCATCAAAGGACTCTGTCTGAAGCAACTGTGAAGAGATTACTCTTTTGCACATTTTCTTGCACAGTTTTGGACTAAATAGAGGTACACCAAACTCTACACTTAGTGGGACCCATTCATATCTCTCATCATCAGGTGATAACTGATCTGCATCTGTCTCTATGTAAAGTCTTAATAGGCGGATGTAACCAATGGTCCACAAATCAATTCTATCCACTATCTCACTTATTAGTGACTCCAACCTTGTGCTTTCATCAATGCCTAAACCCAACTCCTCCCCTACATGCACAAGTGAACCATCAGAATTTTTCAATGGCAGCGGGACATCTATTGTAACAATTTTCCCAGATTTATCAAGGTCATACTTGCTGAGAGGCTGCACAAGTACAGCAGAATGCCTAAGAAGTGAATTAAGACAATGCAGAAGAACAGTCCCTTTCACTAAGCTCCCTTCAAATTTTCCCCCCACCCCTCCAACTGTAGATCCATCCCATGACCATATAAGGGCTTTCTCACAGCCCGCCAGGGGTGCAGGAAGTAAACGTAAATATTGGCCCTTCATTAGAACAACAGACAGCGGTCCACTGCCTACTGCAGAATATAGCACCAATTTCATCCAAGGTGTCATGGATGAATGTGAGGGAGGCCCAAAGTGCACAGGGCCTGTTTGCCCGGGCAAAATAGAGGCTGGAGGCAGAGGTACCATGGATAAGACAATATCATAGTCTCGGTGGAACAATCTATCTAAAGTTGCAGGTGCAAGAGTGGCCAAACTTTCACAACGAAGAAGATCCAAACGATAACTCCTTTTTCTTCTGGGAGCATCACTTTCGAAGGCTGAAATCTCATTATCCTCCAAGATAGGATCCAACATAGGCTGCTCATGGGAATCATCTATATGGTCTTCACTGATTAGCTTGGTGTCGGCAGAGCTGGCTCCAGATATTGAACATGAGGGGGAATCTCTTTCCAAACATTCTGAATCTATAATCTTATCCTGAGATTCTATATTGATGAAATTATCACCATTAATACCACTGGCATTGTGAGTCAAGCTCGTTTCAACTGCCGTAGAGGTATCATTGCTTTGTGAGGATACGGTGTCCACCTTATGACCAATTTCTGTGTCTCCAACACTATCAGAAACTCCTCCAGAAAGAAGACATTCTAGAACACAACGGAGGCTAGATGCATGATTTGCAAATTCCTGCAATTCACCTTCAAATTTGGTTCCTTCTAATGTGCTCAAATCCTTGCAAAGATCTGCAATACTTGCGTGACCCAGCTTACCTGCTTCATAGAGCGTTACAGCATGTGATTTCAAACCTGAAACAGGAAACACAAGTGAAAACATGAATGAGTCAGAAATCATATGCACAGTGCTCGCTTCATTTTCTTTTCTTCCTTCCCCTGTTGGCCTAAATAGTAAACACCCTGTAATAAGTTGTCCTATCAATGATATTCCAAGCGTTTTTGTGCCAAAAGAAAAATAGACATACGAAAAGACAAATAAGTAAATGTTACATAAAAGCACAAAAATTGTTTTCTAGAAATCCTATTACAATGGAAAGAATGTGTAAACTCAAGACTGTCCTACCAAATACAGAGCTCTATAGGATGGAATTGAAACTGTTCGAAAACTGGAAAGGGAGGCAGAATGACAAAATGAACAGAGACATTTAGACTCAATGTAGAATGGCAAAGTATGGGGAAAAGTAAAACCTGGTGAAACAGACCCCATCATGAGGTATGAAGTAATATTAGCATCAACAATAAATGCAACACGAGCATGATTTGAAGCTGCTCTGCTTTCTGACCCTGAATAGTCCTGTTGAACACTGACTCCATCCACCGACAAGTTTGCAGAGCCTACACTAGCCCGAGAACCATCTTCATCATCACTTAGAATAAGAGATCCCTGGACATTAGCATCCTGTAGAATAGATGCTGGATCAATTATTTTCTCTGCCCATCCCAATCGACAAGCAAAGGATGCAGCAGATTGCAACTGCAAGAGGTCAGCCTGTAATGTGGAAGCAAGTTCGGCAACAGTTGCATTCTCACTTGAAACAACGAAAACTGCGTAAAGTAACCTACAGGTTGGACATAGATAATAAGGCACTCAATAAATCCAATTTTCATACTAGAGTCAAGAACAAAGTATCTATGTAAAAAGTTAGCTTGCTTACTCCTCAATAGGATCTTCATAGGACTGCTCCCTATTTGAAACAAAGCCCTCCAGCCTAGAAACTGAAACAGTCCATATCAAATGTTTGATGAACAACAAAGTCTGTATCATATTGGTAAGCAATGAGAGCTTTCTAATCTCAGATCAAAATATGCGGGCAAAAGAAAGGGAGGGGGAGAGAGTATTTATCCCTTACAGCAACACTAATAGTAAAGGCTTAAATACACCGGTAGGTTGGAGAAAAATATGAATTGAAAAGACAGCATAACAGTTGCGGACCACAAAATGATATTATTGACAATAAAATGTGGGGAATAACCTCCTAACAGGAGACAGATCAAGCATGAATTTATATGATGGCAAGGCGCACATGCAACCTCCAAGTACAACCCCTCCTGGTTTACAGCAGGGGTTGGGATTGGCAGTCACTACACTTAGGGTGTGCACTAACATTTAATGTACAAAAGGTAATTAAATGATAGCCTGAATATATATGAATAATTACTAATTACATTACCTGACTATTAAATAATTTATGAAACTACATTTGACATCAAAGGCTATCCTGATGAAAATTTACCTTTGAAACGGTCATCTGAATATACAGGAACATCAAAATATATTAGACCCCGCCGGTATAAGCCCTTTATTATGTCAGGATTGAAAAGAACATATGAATTGGCTTCCTCCTTGCAAACTTTATCTATCATTGCCATCTCTTCATCTGAAAGTTTCTGAAAGAATTAAAATAAAAAATTAAACTTACAGAAATCTCCACAACAACAGCATCAACTCAAAATCATGGCACCAATTTCTCTTAAAAAAGAAAAAATAATACTTCCTTCGTTTTCTTTAATTGCACCATTTTTCTTTTTGGGAAGATGTATATTAATCACACCATTTCCTTATGTGGTCTTTTTTTAACTCTTTGGTTTTGTTCACACACAAAATTCCTTACTTACCCTTATTCACATGTTATAACTACTTTTATTACCCCACCTTTTCTATCCGTCATTTGTTTTTTTCACACGGGAACTTTTTTCATGCTCCATATTTTTCACGTGTCATATCCTGGCGCTGTTTTTTCCCTCCAAAATCCCCTGCCCTTTTTTCCTTTTTTTTTCCTTCATTTTTTAGCCAATGACATTAATTACCTATTATAAGTTATGCACAAAATATTCCCCAAATCATAAAATATAATTGTGATTATATTGATTCATATACTTTTCATTTATGTAATTAATATTTTCCATTTTATGCAATTTTAGACTATACATCTAATGTAATTTTAATTTAATATAGGGTTTTCAAATTTTTACTATAGAAACCTAACGTAAAATTAACTTAACTTAGATTAAAAAATATACATCTAAAAGTAATAAAAAAAAATTCCAAGGAAAATTTATGCTAAATTTTTTATTATTATAATAATAATAATAATTAAAGATTATTGTGAATACAACAGGTAAAACATGTACTTCGAATTAGATTATAGCTACTGAAGCGGAAGGTATGACAAGAAAATTTTAGTTTTTTTCTCTACGGGAGATAGGAAATGAATGAGTCAACTTCTCTTAAATAGTTATGTGGAGCAATATTCATTTATTTTTCAATAAATATAATAAATTTATACAAAAATACAAATAACTTAAAATACTATTCAAATTGCGTTCTTTTATTTTTCTATCGACCATTAGTAAATGAGTCGTTTATTACTAATTGAATTATATTTGTTTTTTTTTCCTAAGGGATTAGTAATTTGATTTTTAAACCGTGCATCGCACGGTCACTATGCTAGTTTTCTTAAATCTCGTGCCCAACCCAAATGATGCAAATACAAAAAACAGAGGAAGTAGGACATTACCCACTAAATATAGGCAAACATTAAAAATTGTCACGTGCAAGGACCATCAGATTGCTCAAGAGGAGAGGGAAAGAAAACAACAAATTAAATAGTTACCTTAAATTCTTCAAGAGTAAAGTTGACAAGACAAACTCCCCACCAAGGTTCAATTGGAAAATCCGCCGGTTGTGTCGGTAGAAGTTCTTTTGCAATTGATTTGTTAATTTTCCACATGAATTTCTGAACAGCTCCACATCAATGAAGGAAGAAATCAGAAAATGATATCAGAAATCAAAAAGGTAAGATAAGTGATGTCAATCAAATCTTTGTGACTTTCACAAACCATGATGCCACTAATTGTTTGGATATTATTACATATTTTACATGCACCTTTTGATGATAAATTTTGAATTCTAAGCTTAAATTTCAACTAATTCCTATTCTAAAAGGATTGAAGAGCTCATAACGTCCTGCTAACGGCCCTTAACATTTTTGTTTTGTTGATTATCTTTTTTATTATTGATTCATTGCAGCAAATAGAGTCTAGACAGACATAGACTTTTACTTTTTTTCTCACAGTCGTAGCAGCGATAGTTTGAAAGTTTGATCCCCCGGCAAAATTTTAAATGGGTGGATTAGTCTATTGAGAAAATCTCCATAAAGAACTGGATTCACTTCCCAGATTGACCCTCAAGAAATTGAATTTTTATACTCCCCAAACTAAAGTAATTGTGGATTTCTCCCTGACATAAAGAGAAATATATATATGCAGGGTTAAGGCATCACTAACTGTACATAAATCTCATCTGCAGCATACAATCTGTATCATGATGGATACTCCCAAAAGTAACACAAAGCATTTAAGAAATACCTTAGATCTGCATTTATTCATGATATCAATGAACTCATTCCTTCCGATTCCTGTGATCCGCAATGCATCTGCTGCACTGAAATTCGGTATGCTATCATAAGGTTGCTCTGCAAGAGTATATTATCAGTGATTAAGTCAATTGTAGAAAGATATGGGACTACGAGTACATCAAGCACTATTCAGAATGTAAGTTTTGCAAAAGGTATTGAAATTAAGTGTTGGATGATGCGATTAAATGGGGATAAAGAACAGTCGTGATAAAAATAAATTTGAGAAAAAGGAAAAGGAATAAGGAAAAAACACTAAATCCCATCATTTTACACACCTAGAATAAAGAGAAGCAATAACATCTCACTTAGAGCAACTCCAATGATTGTAGCTAGTGTTTAGAGACTTGGTTGCAATTATAAATAATCCCAAGCTCTAGCTGACTGTTGGAGCTACAAAATGCAATTAGCTTGGCCAATCAAATTAGCTTGTCAAAGCTAGTTTGCTTGGAAAACTTGCCAAAATAGAATAATAAAATGAAATATAAAAAAGTTAATTAAGGAAGTGAGGTTCGTTTATATAATAAGCTAACAACTAGCCATTGGAGCTAAAAAATAGCTAAAATGATAATTATCTTAAAAGCTTATGTGGCATGGCAAACTTATTTGACAATTAGCTTGCCATTGGAGTTGCTCTTATAAGCCTTTGCCAACAATGTTGTTAAGCTGGAGGAGGACCCCGTCCAACTATCCAAATTTTTTTTTTTTTTTTTTTTTTTTTATACCAGGAATCAAGTGTTAATTTCTTAAGTGGCATTTGACTTCTTTTTTTTTTAGTTTTGTGGATTTAAATAAAACAGTATCTTGAGAGCATTATTTTTTATGACACAAAACCAATGCATGATACGAAATGGCCCCATGCTAGAGTATGTGAACAGCTTCCAATGACACATTGGAAAATAATTGCCCATTCAACTTTTTACAAAACTGCAACATACAATGATATCCAATAATAGAAGCCAGCACAAGTTATGTAGACAATGGATAGATCAATTACCACTTTTCATAACCTCAAATATTATGTCACAGTAATATCGGAAAGGTGAGACCCTCATTACTCGACATACATATTCTGAGAGGTGATAAGGAAAAAGCTGCAGAGAAAATACTCAAAGTTAGGTTATTATACGATTCAGGTAAAAACTGGAAATTCCAAAGGGCATGCTAGCAACAAAAAAACCCCATCCTTTCCCTCTCCTCACAAACTCAAACACACAAAAGAAAAGAGAGAGAGAGGGGTTAGGCCCCAATTTTGAAACACAACTATAAAAAGTAGGTAAACCATTCACCAGGAAATATGACCTCCATGAAGTTCCTCCATAGACTCAAAAATTCACCAAACACTTTCCACCATATGAAGACACCAACTTTATTAGCTATAAGAAGCATAAACTATTTAACTTCAATGTTTAAGTCAAATTTCTAAGGTGCCCAAATGTATAGCATACTATGCCAGTATGCCATTTATAACATAGGCATGAAATTTGGAAATATTACAGTTTAGATAAATTGTTCATATTCTTTTTTATTATAATACTGACCTTCCGTGCTTTTATCAGATTTTTAGCTTATACGAAGAAAAAAGAAAGAAAAAGAGTGAGAGTGAAAGAAATATTAGGCAATTCTTTTGCTTTGTTTATAACTAACAACTTACTTTTCATCTCTGGTTTAAAAAGCAGTCAGCTTATATTTTGGCTGTTTCGCAGTTAATGTAATTTTCTTGCTCATTCAGTATTAAATATTTATCTTTTCTTTTTTGCATCCTTCAATAGAACTGGTCTATTGGATATTAATTAACGAAAAAAAGGAACACTAAAGCTAATTGACCTAGCAAGGTTGGGGGGAAAAATACTTATATGGCTACTCAGTATTTCCAGAACACTCAGTTTTGAGTTAATTAGCTTCCGGCAAACTTTATAGAAAAAAGAACAAAATTTAGTATATATAACACACATAAATTAAAAAGAAAAAACAAAACAAAACACTATTTTAAACACTTTTTCGTAGCACACATATGTTTCAACTTTCAACCACTTCAAAAAAGGAAACCAAAACCAGCCTAGTTTAAGTGCTTCATAAATGTAACATCTACTTTTATTGTGGTAAAATAACAGGCTATCTAAACTTTCCCGAAAAAAGTTTAACAAAACAACCTGTAAACAGTTACTGGAGTAACATTGCCCATATCACTCTGTACATGGGAGCAGCAAAGAAATTTATGGTTAACGGTATAGTTTCAGTAGGTTACTATCAGTCACTGCATTAGGACTCATTGAGATGCCAAATGTCGATATTAAACCATGGAGCTTCAAAGTAATTCCAGAAGCCAGAACTCGATAACTCATTATATTGTTTCCAAAAGGCAAAGCACAAGAACAATCCTACACCTTACAAGAAAGAACAAAACTACAAAAAGACATGGGTACAGAACTGACCGCAAGATTTCTCCGAAGATACCGCATCATCTCCTCGTAGTATTCGCTTTCTTTGATTACTTTGCGAGCAAAACAAGTATTCCATTGCAGCCTCTTTTTGATGCAATGTTCAATCACCCTACTCGCAGAATTGAGAATAAATTTAGTCAGCACTTGGATGAATTCAGTTTCACACCCTAAAACTCAATGAACAATATATATTATATTCTCAGTCTTCTTTAGATAAGAAATTTCATAAAGTTAAAAAAAAAAAATTAAAAAAAAAAAAAAAAAAAAAAAAAACAGCATGGAACTAACAAAATTAAGAGGAAGAAAAAAAAAAAGGATTGTCAATCACAACAAATGAGAGGAAACTGCCAAGAAACTTTAAGACAAAGTAATCTAATTATAAATCTAATCTCAGAAGATCTCATTGATTCTTTGCAATTGATTCCGCAGAAAACAAAAGGAAAACTGCCACAACGTTATAAGACAAGCAACTACTCAAACTCAGGTGAAAGCCCGGTAAAACCTTCAAAATCATGGCTTGAAAGAACCATACATTTTCACAAAAAAAGTATTTCAACTTACAATGCAATTACAAGTGACCATCAATCCCTCCACTAGAAGACACATGATCCAGAATAGTGCCTTATTGGGCCTCTGAAACCAGACTTTCTTCAGTTTTTACCTCCATCAACAAAACTGACCTTACAAAAAGCTATGAATCGCTTTTGAACATTGGCCTCTTAAACAAAGTCAGAAATAGACAAAGGTTCTGGATCAGGTATGTTGGTGAATGGCTGTAAATAGAATAGATAATGAAGAATCAACCAACCATCCTCTTACTCTATGAACCCATTGAGGAAGTAGGCATAACTATATCCAACAATATAGTGAGCTCACCAAAACACCCACTAGGATTCCTCCAAAAGTAGAAGATTCAAGGAGAATTGTTCATACAGCCACCCAAAAACATAAATGCGTCATGAAGTGACAACTGACAACTCAATAGACACTGAAAAATGATAACATGAAAAAATATGTATTAAAATAAAAAGGATGCAACCTGACAAAAGATTATTCCAAAAAAGGAACAAATTCCCAAACAAATCCTATATTAAAGGGAAAAAAACACGAGTTATGCTTTTGAAAAATCTGAATAGAAATATTAGAAAACATGACTAAGAGTCCATCAAAGAGCATACCAGTTTTTAATGAGTTCCAACGTAATAAATCTTACAAGATTAGCCAAACATTTTCCCATCAAAGAATTGTTCTTACACACCTGGCTACATAAACTAACCTATGCAGGGTTACAGACCTGCTTTTCATTTAATTTATTGCAACTCTCCCATTGATGTCATCTCGCGCTAGAGAAAAGGAAGTATCCCGTGTAACTTTAAATGTCAAACTCGTCATTTCACCGTAAGTACCCAATACACAAACATCAACATGGGTGTGGATCTTCAAAACTGGCATCTTGGACCCAAAGTATGCAAAATTGCATACACTAAATTTTACGCATATTTTTCTCTCTTCGAAGTTTGAACACCGAATTCTCAAACTCATACCCAAAAGTATACACTCCATTTGGTCTTTCACATGACCATTACAATTCCCTATGGGGTATCTCCTTTCTTTATCCTTTAAACTTGATAAATTAAATCATTAAAGTCTCTTGAATGAAATTTAACTTCCTCATGAACCTAAAAACACTGACATTTCCATCAACTTGTCATTACACCACTCCAAAGATCATGATACAATGCATTCTCAAATCACAAGTTATAACTACATTTGGAGTGTAAACTACATGAGTTGAGCACAACAAAATTCAACTCCAAAAGATCATGAATGGCTCGAACTCAAGTTATTTATTGCAAGCTGAACTTTAAAAACAAGCTTGGAAAAGTTAAAAATTCAACACGAGTTTAAATGAAAATGCTATGATCTGATTTTGAGCGATCCAAGCTCAGTCCCTGCAAGTAGCACCACAGATGATGACCAAAAGAAGGCACTAGGCTTTGATTAAGATATGTGAATACTGAGAAGGCATTTATGGATATTAATATCGAGGTTTTAGTCCTATTAGGAATAACCTAATTAAACTTTGCTTTGTCGCTATTTGTTATAAACTTATAAAATCTAAGTTTTTGTAAACGGTTAGGATTAAAATCACTCAAATGAATAAGTGCTCCAGCCTATATAACAGTAAGGGTTAAAATCACTCAAATGAATGATTGCTCAAATAGAAAGGTATGAACACTTTCTTGCATTTGCTTCGCTTACAGAATTCCGCCACTAATTTTACAATTTTAATACTCCATTAACTCATAAATATGAAAATAGTAGAAATCACATAGAAGCTAGACTCTGAAACCAATGCAACTTCCTCTTCCTAATTGATCAAACTTATATTCCTGATCGGACACTCCAGCAACCCACTACCCACCCCCTTCCTTTTCCAATAACAAAAAACCCTTGCCTATACAAAATTGTGAACCGGCATTATCAATACACGCCACGACTGAAGGAACTAGTACTACGTATATGATAGATCACCTGTAAAACTACCTATATTACAAAATCTAAACAAGTAAATGCAGAAGTTGTAACCCTCAATAACACCTATACCTTCAGCATTGCACAGAATCCGGCACAATTTCGACTTTTACAATGAACTTTTCAATTATATTATCCAAATGTAGCATTTCCAATACAACTTATACAACATAATTTAAAACTTGCACTGAAAATTACACTCCACTAAACATCATGAAATCAAAAGAAAATGAAAAATGAAACAAACCTTCTATGCCATTCCTCTTTAGAAGAAAGAGTAGATTGCAACCTCTTAGGCAAATTCTCCCATGGACACTCCTCCCTAATAGCCTTCAAAATCAATTGCTCCTCAACTGTTGTCGGAGCGCGCAACATTTCAAATTCCTCTCAATTCTCCAAACAATCAACCTAAAAAATCAACCAAATCACCAAAACAAAATCAAAATCCACAATTCTCCATTAATTCTTACAATCAATGAAATCATAAAAACTCAGATCAAACATCGTAATCAAAAATGAAACTGAAAATGAGTCGACATTACCGGTTACGATCGAACAGTTGATGGATCTAAGCGACGAAATCGGAGTTCTAGGGTTTGAATTCAGCGAGATGCGGAGTAGGAATTGAAGACAGAGAGAGACGAAGAAGAAGAAGAAGAGGAAGGTGAATGCAGAGACGTTGAATAGAAGAAGCTTGGTTTGGTATGAGCATGAGGTTCCACGTTGATTTGAAAATGGTCCGTGCCAGAAAGTGTGTTTAGGTCCCGCGATATTAATCAACAGCCGACAGTGTTGCCTTTATCAAGATCTTGATTGTTAATTTGTTGTGGTAATAATCATGGTAAATCAAAATGGATATGAATTAATGTTTTTGGATGGAGTATTGTTTTAGAAGCTTTTGATTTTGTACGTTGATTCGCGTAAAATCGGAGATTGTGGAATACAAGTAATTAATTGTCGTTACGGATTTGTATCTATAATGAGCATTGTTGGATCATTTTGAAATTTAGTCGACTTAATGGGAACACGTAAAGCCTATTTTTGAACGATCAAATCATTGTTTGTTGTGTATGCACTTGTTGCCTTGTTGGTGGATTGAGAAGCCTTTGTACGCTTGTTTGTGATTCTTTTGCCCTCGGTTTTATTATAATAAAGAGAGGTAGAAAAGGTGAGCTCCTCATAATTTAAATCTTGTGGTTTTTACTTTTCACATTGATATTGATAGTGTTTTTTCCACTAAAGTATATATCACGTCTTTGTGATTTTATTTAGTTCATGTTGTTGTTTGTTCTTGTTGTCCATATAAGTTGATTTGACTAGTAAATCACTTGCTTATCATTTGTGGTGAATTGGAGTTCTTGTTCTTGATTAATTATCTCGGAGTTAATTTTTGTGGGTGTCATATATACTAGTCGGATCATAAGATCAAACATATGGTGATTTGTTGATAAGTAAATGTATCTTCTACTCAATGTATTAAATAAGTGTTAGCAAAAAAGTTAAGAAAGGCTTTGACAAATTTAAGATGAGTTAAAAAAAGATCAAAAAAATAAAAGGTTATGCTCACCCAATACAAAATTACAAAGCTACCCTACAATTAATACGAATTATATCCTAATAAGAAAAAAAATGATAAAATTGGTCTTTGAAATAGTCATAATGGATGAGATTTGATTGGATTTTAAATATCACCTTTAAAACTTTAACCAATTAAGCTAGTTGACATCCATACATATATTTATTATTGTCAATGTCGTTCAATATTATCATTATTTAGTTTTATGAAGCACAATATACATGTTTATTAATTGAAAATAAATTCACAATTTTTGAGTAATTCGTTATAAAATTGAAAAAAAAAATTTAATTCTTAAATGCTCCGAATTAAACTTAATTTTCATCCAAGTCATTACTCATGAGTTCATGACACAAGCGTTCAACATGTATAGCGTTTAGCTCTCAAATCTTTATAGCTTCAAATTTCCCACAATTTTCGTTTATAACCTTCCTCTCTTCTCTTGGACATTGTGTTCGAAGCTAATCCTACAAAAAAATGAGTTTATTGTTAGTACTTAGTAAGGGAAGTATTTACTTGAATTTCATCTATCGCAATTTTGGTCATTTTAATATAAAATTGAATCTTCTACTGGAAATTTTATATTTTTCTTAATTTCATACATATTTTGCAGCAATCGAAGAAAGGACATGGAGAAAAGATTGTTATTTACCCAGATAAATATGGGTTACTGTTATTGGTGAGTTTATTTGTTTTACATGTCTGTATTCATTTTTTTTTTCTTCATATTTTCCAGCAATAAGCAGATTGTACACAGAATAATCACTTTTGGTTCGTATAGCTAACTCCACTTATGGGATTAAGGTTTTGATTGATTGATTGATTGATTGCAGCAATAAGCAGATTATACTGTAGTTATTGTGTCTTAAGTACAAACATTGTCACCTGCACTGTTAATGAAGCATTGTCACCTGCACTGTTAACGAATTATCATTGTCATCCCCAATGATCAATGATGCAATAAAGATGTAGCTTTCTAGGAAGAAACTACGAAAGAGAAAAAATAGATCTTTGGTAACATTGGAAACGAAATGGAAAGGAATGCCAATAAGACACTTATTATAAGAAGGGGGAAAGAAATCACTTAAACTTAGCTCTCTTTTGTTTTGTTTGGTGAGGGTATGGGAAATTGCTATCTTAGGTTTTAGAGATGTACTCCGTAACAAATAGAAGGAAACCATTACCCTTTGAAGTGGTAATTGTTAACCAAACACTTGGAAACGATAATGGTTTAATTACCATTTTCAACCAAAAAAAAAAACTGACCAACTATGGTGAGTTGGTGACTTATGAAACACCTTCACTATTTTTTGCCCAAATGATGTTGTTGACTAGATAGAACGTGGAATTTGTAGTGTGCATTATCAAATGCATTAGGCAATACATTTCGTTTAAGAAGTCCCAAAGGATGCTTCATGCTACATGTTTAATTTTAAGAATAAGCAAGAATAGTATGCTATACTATCAAAACATAAATCTGGCCACGGATGGTTCCATTACTTCCATATGTTAACTGTGTAATTTTGGGGAGCCGGATGGAAGTGGGTGGGATGAAAGAGTGGTACGCGGAAATTTTCAGTCATTTGAGTCCAATGAAATCTTGGGTATTCTGCTAGCATTGCACAACTAGTTGATATGTTTGTATGGTGATACGACAAATCTGGAAATTATATAGTGAAGTTGGGGTAACACTTATTTCTTTTCTTCAGAAAATCAGTTAATGGTATGGTTGGGTGACTTGGGTCATTGTTGGATACTTGGATCTGAGAATTTGGAAGAATGTATGGAAGTTTGATACTTTGATGTGACCCTGCAGAGTAGCAAGAGATTCTCTGTCTCTTCTAGCAGCATATGTACAGGTGAGGGAGTTGTGTATAAGCAACTAAAAGATACTTGAAAGTCATTGTTAGCAGGTAGTGAAGCTAATTAACCATAAGCAGAGTGATGGTGAGCAGAATTCATTTTGGTGCGTTGTGAATGCACAATGCACTGTTTCATTGCCTGAAGATAAATCACCATATGTGATGGAATTAAGAAGTCTTTTACTGCTTTTCAGGGTAATGGTTACCCATTGGACATCATTATTTGTAGTGCTTTGGGTGTTGATATGTATGATTGTGTTTACTCCACCTGCACTGCTTGTTTTGGTACAGCCCTTATACTAGAAATTTGCCAAAAGCTTCTGCATACTTATTTTTGTGAAATTCTAATGGGCAGGTATATCGTATGTGCCTCAGTGCCTGTGGCTGCGTACTGACAAAAAATTTCTATTCCTTGATACGTTAAAGAATATGCCTTATTCGATCTTCTCTCTACTATTTCCAACCGAAATTTCCCTAGCAGGGTGTATAAAAACTACAGCACTAAGGCCGAGGTTGATGATACTCGCGGTCTCACCCTATTGATCCTTCCTGTGCTCGTATGGCAATGTTTTTAAATAACCACTTCCTAGCTACTCTGTCCTTGAATTGTAGGTCAAATTTGATTAGAGGTAAATTCTAGGGATTTGAGGTCATTCTTAGCACCTTAACAATCCTACATTTTTAAATATGACATCTTTACCATACCAGTTTAGTTCTCAATAAGAGTATACAAGAGTAATATGGGAAATTATAATTCATCAAAAGACCCAGGGAGTAATTATATAAAAAATCATTTGTAGTTACTAAACCTGGGGATGTCCTTTTACTGTAGGTTGTCAAGACATATACAAGAGCTTTATTCATTGTCGTGTTACAAAAGACACAATAGGCTCAAAACTTACATGATGAAGGTATATGTCTTGGGGGTTTTTCTAGACTAATGTAATATAATGTACAGTTTCTGCTCATATTAGTCATACAGTTTTGTTGATTGGCACATCCTTGAGTATGTAACACTACTTTTTTTTTTGCTAGCCTGTTTACTTTTTGCTATGCTCTTTTTCTTTTTCGGATGGCTCCTTATGATGATTCATGTTAACCGTCCCTAAATCATTTTGGGACTAAGGCTTTGTTGTTGTTGTTGTTGCTGCTAGCCTGTGTACTCCCCTGATGAGTTTGTTGTGCTTGATGAACGTGTCAATTGCTATCTCATCATTTTTCGATTTTCTGCAGGTTTGTGCGCGATAACTGAACTATATTTATTTCTTTTTGTTTGGAGTTTGGAAATATTTCTATGCTCTTGGTGTAGCTTCCAAACTGAGATGTACCTGAGTGGGTCTGCAATGCCATGGAGGTTGCTGAACCAATGTTTTTTCATGCTGTGGATGATCGTTGTCACTTTCCAAGCAGGTTCTTTATAATTAATCATGTGCTCGACAGGACGACAGGTGATGCAACTGCAGCTTGTAATCTTATTGGATTTATGTGCCAATTTTTTACCAGGTACCATACTTAGGAAATTTGCAACACATATATGACATTATTGCCACACAAAACTAATAGTTAGATTTATGTGGAAATTCATTACTATAAGCATATGGCGCTCTTAAAATTTCTCTAGATTCTGTACTTGCTGAAGGCAAACTGTTGTTCTTGGATCATTTTAACATTCAAATTAAATGAATTGCTGTGATATGATTCTACTGCTGTTAAAAACTGACGGCAATTCGAATGTTTAAACTCTGTTGGTTGTGGATTATCTTAATGAGACTTGGAAGAATGGTGCTCATTGGTTTTTTTTTACTACATTTTTTTTTTGGTACTGAAGTATGATTCAAAAGCTTGTTTTTCAGGTGGTGTAAAAGCAATATTATCAAGTGGTATATTTGAGGTGTGGATGATGACGTAGGTATGACTCAAAGTCCATAATCAAGTCTTTAATAAAGAAGGGGGTGGGGGGCTTGTTGCCTATCCCCTTATTTCAGCTATTTGTTTGATTTTAGTAATGAGCACTCATATTTCTTTTTTTCACCTGTAAGGATGAGTTGGGTCGGGTTACTCTGAGGACCCGACCTAAGTCATCCTTACGAATGAAAAGAAGATATATATATATAGAGAGAGGAGGGGGGATATCAGCTTTAAGCCTTCAACTGAGGACTAATCTTTGTAAATAACAGAAGATATTCTCACAGAGAAAATGTATAACTAAACACTTGCTCGGCAATCTAGCTGAGACTGAGATCCATGATTCAGAGTAGACACTTGTATAATATTGTAAATTTGTAAGGTCTGTAATGGATCTACTTAGATAATAAGTGTTGTTATTTGTTTTTCCTCACAATTTGCACCCTCATTTACAGGGATATGCAGCAGATGAAACTGGTGCACAGTTTTTTGAATAGATACAGAAACTCGAGTGAACTTCATCTTATGCACCCCTCCTAGACCAAACTAAACTTTGGCAAAACTGACTAGTAATGAAATTCAGTACTCGTAATTCACTATATCCAGCCTACATCATAACTACATTAAAAACTAGAGTAGACTAATGTATTAACATGAATTAAAATTGACTTGACCCAAACTAAATGATCTCGAAACATAATCTATATAGACAGAGGTAAACATAAAATCACGAATAATGCTTGTAACTTTAGTTTAACTAAGCTGAACTGAACTGAATTGATTGACTTAGGGCCTGTTCTCATATGTTTATTTTTAGTTCAGTTCAGTTTAGCTCCTAATTCTCTTCACTTATAAAATATTCATTTCAGTTCAGTTTAGTTTAATTCAGCTCAGCTCAGCTAAGTTCAGCCTATAAGAACAGACTCTTAATCCTTGCAAAGACCCCTAACTCAAACTAGATTTAATCCGAACATCATGATTGCCACCTATACACCTAACTCAATAAACTAATATTGATCATCAAAACAATATTCTTTTAAGATGCAAACAATTGAATAAAATGATTCCTATAATATCTATGAAACTGTTAGAGGGTGGTGGGACAGTTGTTGATGATGGTACACCATAAGCTACGGCCTACGGGAAAGTACAATCCCCCTAATCCCTAATCCCTATGCCTGCAAGCTTAGCTAGCTGCACTCCCACAGCTAAGCTTTGGCATGTTTCAAAGATACTCAAAAATCTCATCAACTATTCTCAATTATTGTAATATAAATCATTATTATAATTAAGATACTGATGTACTGTAACTAAAATACATACATATTTGGTTGTATTTTAATACTTAAGAGTAGTCATTTTTTTTTGTAATTTTATGCTAATACATTATTAAAATATATGTTTATGAAGTAAATTGCTAGTAGTTAGCAGCTTCTAAGAAAGTGGTTCTCCTGTCGGGACATTGTCTGAATAGATGGCAGATTTCAGGATGGTGTGTGTGAATTAAAGCTTGCTTTTGAGTTGGCTTTGTCATACAACTTGTTGATAATTTTATTTAGAGCACAAAATATATTTTTCAAAGAATATGATTTAATTAAAAATGGTTATTAATCCCTTCATTTATGCCTGCAAATACAATTTTGAAGTCCTTTTTTTGTCTATATTGTAGACTATACATGTTCACATTTCTTAAATCATATCATAAATTGTATTGTATGAATGAATCAAAAGCAATATTCTCCGTAGCATGGTACACCTTACTCTTATAATTAAGCACTTTTCTATTAGTTAAATCTTCTATTTGATTAGGTAACCAAGGAAATATAAATGTCACTTTGAGATATGTCTTTGACTCTAACATGTAATACAACTTCATATCCTACCCTGGCCTGGAGAAATGGACATGAAAAGTGATTTGGCCAAGTTGATTGTATGGAAGCTAGGAAGGAATAATGTCATTACGGAAATCTAAATCTTGTATGACAGCCCATTAATGATGGACTCAATTTCTGTCTCTAATAATATAACATTTTTAATGATAATTTTTTAGTCCGTTAAAAACATACTCAACTTCATACAAAAGACCTAACTCAACTCTTATTTATAAACTAAAATATCAAAACAAATACGTTTTTCTATCTTAGCCAAGTCTTGCAATGAAATAATCATATTCAACTAGTAACCTTTAGCCTACCGAGAAATTTCATCTTTACAATTTTACACCATCATATTAGAAGGCTAATTATGCAAAGTTATTTCACGCAAAATTTCAACCTAATAATAGGACCTTCTCCTTACCGACCAAAAAGCAAATGAAAGAAGATTTCATGGGACAACAGTAATTAGAGACGTGACAAGTTGTAAGTTTGATGTACGTGCATAATTCCCACACACACTATAATCTACGGCTGTATTATGTATTTATAAAATGTACTCGTAGTTGACTTAGTAAACGTACATCCACATGCACGGACACGTATCATCTTTGCCCGTCTCGTGCTCCTAATGTAGTCTTCATTGATTAGTCAAGCCGCAACGCTTTCCACACGATTAATCTGTCAAACCATACTCCTTTCCACCTCCATACGATTTGCGACATCTGTCCACCTTACCCCACCTAAAGTCAAAACAGGCGACCCTTTCGTAATTTCACACACATACATTAACTATCAGGGTTTTTACTCTCACTTATTTTTGCACATTTTTTAGGCTTTGTTAAGGATTATCTAATGATATTTAGATAATATTCTTATATTTATGTATTTTTCATATACTTTCCATTTCCTTAATTAATATCCTTCAATCTAGGTATGTAATTTTAGACTACTACCTAATGTAATTTTAAATAAATATAGAGTTTCCAAATGTTTAATATATGTAGTACAAACCTAAAGTAAAATAAAATTAACTAAGATTCAAAATATACATCTAAAAGTTTTTTTAAAAAATTCCAAGTAAAATTTATGCTAATTAATAATAATTAAAGATTTTGGTGAGTACGATGGGTATTCGTATTAGTTTGTAGCTATATTGTTTTATATTATTAAAAATAAATATATGAAGAATAAATTTAAATAATTTTGAAATTTACAATTGAATTTAAACCCATGGAGTAGATATATTTTTAACCTTTCTTTTAATACATTATATTATACATATATATACGCAGTGCTTTCTCATTTTAATACTTTCAATGTTTTTATTTTTCACTTAAAATACATAATTCTACTCCTTAATATTAAATCTATAACTAATAGTTTTTGATAAGTAAAAATTAAAAATAAATAAATAAATAAACAGATTTATTGAGGCGAATCTAAAAAAAACATTGATGACATCAATGCAATCTTCCTTATATTGGACTGTAAATCAAATTAAGTAATTAAAGTATGTGAATAGTACAAAACTAGTTAAAAAATAATATTTCATATAAAAGGAAAAGCCAATATAATTACCAAAAACCAGTTAAATAATAATTCATATAAGAGGAAAAACCAATGTAATTACTAATGTATTTTAATCAGACTTTTGATTATTGGAAAAGTATAATTATGTACTGACCCACTTACCCCACCTTTCTAACACACTCACTAATCACTATCCACAAGTCTACAACTAGGAAAGAAGGAACTTAACCAACCAACCAAGTAAAAAGTGTCATTTTAATTAAAAAAAAATGTCCTTCCTTCATTTCCTTGATTTCCTTCTTTATTTTATGAAACTACTTAGAACCTCACTTGAACTCTCTTAGAAACAAACTCCCACCTACACCAACACAATACACCTCCCTCTCTTTATATATATACACATAACCTTCACACTTGATCAACTTGAAGAGAAAACAATTACTATAAATAATAAAAACCAAAACAATTACACACAACTATGATGGGAAGACAGCAATGCAAGAAGCACCCTAAACACCGCCAATCCCCTGGCGTGTGCTCCCTTTGTCTCTCCGACAAGCTATCCAAGGTCTCTAACTCCGGTACCGCCTCACGGTCCGCTATCATTCGAGCTCGAGCTCGTGTTTACTATCAATCCTCATCATCCTCCTCTCTTTCATCTAGCTATGATTCTTCTAATGCTTCTTCTACTGGTGCCTCCCCCGTACACCACGTTTTAAGTGGTGCTCGTCATCGGAGGATCGTGTCCGATGTACGAGCTAATGTTGTTGTAGGCAAGGATGGATATAATATTAACAGTAAAGGTGATTCGGTTTTTAGTAAGAGTAAATCTATGGCTCATGTTGAAAAATATGATGATAAAAAGAAGAATATGAAGAAGAATAATGTAAGGAGATTATGGGCTAATTTGCTTCGGTTAGGAAGAAATGAAGAAAAGCGTGATAATGTTGCACAAGTTAATGATCGTAAGATTTTTCAGCCGCATCAACTTCAAAGTTCTAGCAGCATGGTTGTTTATTAATTGATTGATGATTGATTTAAGTTAGATTAGATTTATTGATCGTGTTATTTGGACATGATTAGTGATTTTAATTTTAATTTATTTTTTTTTTACTTTTTTGTGTATAAAAGAAAAAGGGTAAATGGAGGGGAGAAAAAAAATACATACAGCAATCCAAATTACAAAAGAATTGAAGAAATTTATCATGATTTGATGAATATGTACATTTATTATGTGATACAAGTTTTACAAAAGATAGTGATGAAATGAAATTTTGTGGATAATTTGTGTTTATTTTATTATTGTCAATTATTTAATTGTGTGGTTAATGAGTTTGGAAATTTGGAAATGCGTAATATACTAATATATGTTGTTAATTACTGTATTTTTTTGGTTCTTTTTTCTATTCAAAGGTTTTGGTCTAGATTGGCAATGGGATAAGAAAAGCGTTCAAGTGCATGTTGTATGTGCTTTGAAAAGCAAAATAGGAATTTTGCTTAGGGTGTAGTAGCTTGATTTGATTTAATACTGAATTAAAATTTATGTAAGAATGGATAAAGGATTTTTTTATTTTAAATTAATAGTTGGTTTTTGCTATGTTAATGTTATTGCCCGGATTGAGTTTATAGATGAAAATACATATAAATATGCAATTTTTAGTTAGATACTGATGATAGTATATGTAGTTCAACACATACACAAATGCAACTCAATATTCTTCATTGTAATGTAGCTCATTTGCAAATTAAATACTCTGTAGTCGGCCATATTACCTTTTCTTTAACGTAAAGATACATCTGCCTCGCTCTATCATAGATTGATTGAGGAAAGGACTTGCCTCATCTTTATGTAATAAGGTAAAGATAAATTCGCCTCTATCACAGATTGAGGAGAGGACTGATAAAGATAATATCGTATAATATCTCTCATTACAATCCCTTAATTCTAGTTGACAATATTCTTGTATCTCATTAATTTATCTTAATATTTTAGGTGATTTAATTGGTTGTAAATATCCTTAGGCAATATTTTGTTACCTTCATTAGATGAAATCATATCAAGGATATGATACTCTTGTATGTATATATAGTGCTCCTTGTAATTCAATTTTAATACACAAAAATATATTCCTCTCATTCTCTTCTCATCATGGTATCAGTAGCATTGGATGTAAGTGGAATTTACGAATGGCAACCATCATCTCCTAAAGTCAACTCCATGACCAAAGCTTCCACCATTCAATGGCATCATCGACTAGGCCATCCAGCTTATCCCATTCTTAAACATCTTAGTACTTCCTTTAATCTTTCAATTCCAAAGTCATCTACTATCCAATGTAATTCTTGTGATTGTAATAAAAGCCATAAGTTGCCCTTCCATGAGTCCACAATCTCTTCCAATGGCCCACTGGATGTTATATATAGTGATGTTTGGACTTCTCCTCTTCATTCCTTTGATGGATATAAGTATTATGTCATATTTGTTGACCATTATTCAAAATATGTGTGGTTTTATCCACTTAAAAGAAAATCCGATGCCAAGGATGTATTTATCCGATTTAAGGCTCTTGTTGAAAAATTCTTCAACCGCCAAATTGTTACTTTGTATTCTGACAATGGGGGGAATATGAAGGCCTTGACCCATTTTTAGCCTTAAATGGTATAACTCATCTCACTTCTCCCCCTCACACGCCGGAGCATAATGGTTATTCTGAACGACGACATCGTCATATTGTCGAAACCGGTCTCACTCTTCTCACTCATTCCTCTATGCCCCTCAAATATTGGTCTCTTTCATTCACCACAGCTGTCTATCTAATAAATAGGATGCCCACACCAATATTACAAATGCTATCTCCATTCCACAAAATTTATGGCTCTCCACCTAACTATCTAAAGTTACGCAGCTTTGGGTGCCTATGTTATCCATGGCTACGACCTTATGTCTCAAACAAGCTTGAACCTCGATCCGACCCATGCGTTTTCGTTGGATATTAAACTACACAAAGTGCTTATTTTTGTCTTCAACCTCATACAAATAAAGTATTTGTCTCTAGACATGTCAAATTTGTGGATAATACCTTCCCCTTTTCCTCTGCCAATTTAACCCAAAATGAAGACACTTATGAAGCCACCTCCTGGTGCTCATTTTCTCTTCCTATTATTATTAATGGTGTTCCCATACAACCAAATAATATTACTACTCCACCTTCTCCTCCCCCTCCTCCTCCCCCACCACCGCCGGTAACTCGGCTACAAAATAACATTCGAAAACCAATCAATAAGCTAAATCTCACTGCCACTCTTCATGACCCCACTACCGAACCCACAAATATAACTCAAGCACTCAAAAGTCCAATTTGGCGCACCGCCATGCAAGTTGAATATGACACTCTTCTTAAAAATCATACTTGGGATTTAGTTCCTCCTTCTTCTTCTCAAAATCTCATTGGATGTAAGTGGGTCTTTCGTACTAAATATAATCCCGATGGCTCCATTGACAAGCACAAGGCTAGACTAGTAGCTAAGGGGTTTCATCAAAGGCCCGGGTTTGACTATACTGAAACATTTAGCCCGGTTGTTAAACCTGCAACTGTTCGTACAGTCCTTTCCATTGCTACCATTCAAGGGTGGTCTCTTCGCCAAATTGATATTAATAATGCATTCCTCCAAGGCTCACTAAAAGAGGATGTATATATGACTCAACCTCCGGGTTTTACCGACCTCACTCATCCTACTTATGTTTGCAAATTGCGTCAAGCCCTTTATGGTCTCAAACAAGCACCACGTGCTTGGTATAATGAGCTCAAGACTAGGGGTGAGCAAAGACCCAGGGTACCCGGTACCGGACCCGGAACCGGTTAGGATCCGCCGGGTCCGGACCCGGAACTGGTCCCACCGGTTCCGGGACCGGGTCCAAAATGTCGGACCCGGTTGTAACCGGTTCCGGGACCGGGTCCTAAAATTTCGGACCCGGTACCCACTGGGTACCCGGTTTAAACCAATTCCAGTTCCGGGTACCCGGTCCCGGATCCAGACAATCCGGGTACCCGGAACCGGTACTGATTTAGTTATAAAAAATTATTTTTTTTTAAAAAACCCAACAATCCACAGTCCAATACAACATTAGGCCCATTTCATCCAACTCATTTCTGCTAGGGTTTCTGTCAGCCACTAAGCCTCCTCATTTCATTGAATTCATTTTTGCTAGGGTTTTGTTCTTCTCTGTTCATTCTCAATCTTCTCTGTTCTCCTCTGAAAATCTCATCTTGTCTTCTTTCGTTCTCATCAATTCACTGATTCTCGGTCTTCTTTCGTAAGTATTTTTCTCTTGGTACTCAAAATCTCATCCTCTCTTTCGTTCTCATCAAGCCACCGAACGACTGTCTCTTTCGTAAGTATTTTTCTCACTTTGTTTGCTTTTTGTTTCATCTTGCATATGTAGATCTCTGGTACTGTTTATTACTGCTTGCATTTTCTTTGGAGATAGTTAGAGTGTTTATGTTAATTTTAATTTTTATTTTCTTCAATTTCTGAGGGTGTTACGAGTGTTTAATATGCTGAAATCAATGAATTGGTACAAATTGACTGCACTTATAGTCTTTTTCTGCAATTTCTGGGTGTTTGAATAGATTCTTATTGAGTATTAATTGGTGGGTACCATTTTTAGTTGCTGTACATGTTTAGTTCAGTCATTGCTTTTATAGAAGTTGTTGTTTGGCTGTTAACATTGTGGTGTTGATCTCAGTACATGAGGTGGGTACACTGGGGTTTCGTTTTAATGATGTTATGTTTGCTGCTTGCATTCTCCCTGATAGAGTTAAAAACATTGGAAGAAACAGAGTCAATAACTCAATGTTCTATCTTTTGGCTTTTACCACTTGCGATGGATTAGTGGAAAAATTTCTTTAGAGGAGATATTTCCCAAAGTTCAAAAATTTTTTGTTGAATTTTTTTCCTGACTGAATGATTAAATAAAAAAATCATACTACACTACACTACAATCCCATCTTCTGATCACATTCACCTTGCATCTTTGCAATAGTGTTTTTTTTTTTTTTTTTTTTTTTAATCTAGTTATCATGATATTGGTTTACCTTGTTTTTTTCAGATTTTCAGATCTATTTCTTGTTTTATTGAGCTGGTCTTTTCTGAAATTTGTAGTTGTGGAGAAAGATGTAGATGGTGATGCATGTGCAGGAACTACAGTTGGATTTCTATGTAGAATTCTGCTTGTTTAAAAGGTTTTTATAGAGGAGAAAGTGTTTCAACAACTAAAGGAACCTTCTTTTCATAAGATTAATTACCATTTTTTCTTTATTAAGTTCCAATTCCTTTTTGTATTCTTCATGAAGATGATGTACTAGGATCTGTGCATATTGTCTCTCCTTTCTTTCTTTGTGTTTATGTGAGTGAGACAATATCAGTTCTGACTGTTGTATGTATTTGTGTAATGCATATAATCACTCTCACTTTGTGTAATGTTTATGTCTTATTAAAGTTTAATTTGTTCCTATTTCAGAACTATGAGCAATACCGACAATTCGTCAGTCCCTATGGATGATGAAAGTGAGGTTGGAAACGAGAATGCAACAACCAAATCAACCAAGGTTGGTGACAAGAGGAAGTCTGAATACTGGAACCATTTTTGGGATTTTAGAGATCCAGTAACCAAAAAAATTGTTCAAGTCAAATGCAAATATTGTGAGAAAATGCTAACAGGTAATACTAATAATGGAACTTCTTCATTAAAGAAACACCTTGGTGCATGTTCAAAATACCCTCCAAATGTAGACAAAAAGCAAAAACTCATTTCTGTTTACAAGTCTCCTGAATCTGATGCTACTATAGTCTCTAATTGGAAATTTGATGAAACTGCTTGTAGACTTGGTTTGGCAAGAATGGTTATTGTTGATGAACAACCATTTTCTATTGTTGAGCGTGAAGGTTTTAGGTATTTTTGTAGTGTTGCTGTACCTCAATTTCATATACCTTCACGTTTTACAGTTGCAAGAGATGTGAAGAATATATTTGTTTGTGAAAGTGGAAAATTAAAGAAATTAATTGGGTGTTTGAAATCGAGAGTGTCACTAACAACTGATTGTTGGACCTCCATTCAAAATTTTAATTATCTTTGTTTGACTGCTCATTTTATTGATGATAATTGGAAGTTGCATAAAAGAATTTTAAATTTTCAATTAATGGATAGTCATAAAGGTAAGGAAATTGGAAAAGTTGTGGAGGCATGTATTCTTAAATGGGAGATTGAGGATCGATTGTTTTCTTTAACTGTTG